TTCCCCCCCCCCCCCCCCAACCCCACCCCACCCCCAATTCTACAATTGTTCCTAAGTCTATGACGGGAAACTAAGATTTCATGTTTCTAATATTGGGAGATAGATCCGCTGTAATAATACTATTTTAAAAAAATCTCCCAAAATTTATTGTTACCACTAAATGTCCTCGTGGATGATAGAAAGCGCGCTAATATTGGGTTGACGAGTTACAACGGGCGTTCCTCATTCTCCCTGTCAGATCTATAATGGCTCCTAATTCTATGATGAGCGAGAGCGTACTAATCTAGGGTTGATGAGCTGCAGCAGACGGTCCTCATTCTATGGTTTTAATTTGGGGGAAAATAGTTAGACTTTGAAGAGAAAAAAGAAGATGAATAAAAGGAGGGGGATATTATTTAGTTCGGACAGAGATGGTAGAATTGTAATTAATACAATAACTATGAATTTACCTTTAAATTAGTCACATGATTCAGCGCATGAGAATATTTTTGGAAAATTCTTATAGTTGATTGACAGCCGATAGCGAACTATATATTTTTTTATAATTGAGGGTATCATTTTGCTCTGTTTTCAAACTTGGGCCATGTAATTTTTTTTTTAAGAAACAATGATCTACCTAACTGCATTTTAGCCTCATCTAAACTATAAGATTCACATATTTATGTTTAGTGTCTATCAAGTGTTGTACCGTCTAAAGCCACAAAATTTCCTGTCACAAAACATTTGACGGACACCTATTTGTGAAACCCAGGCTAGCAAGACACACATTTTTAATGTGGCCCACAAATCAGTTGGTAACGGTGTGGGCTCCGCTTCTAGAGGCCGAGCTCCACTCTCGAATCACGGGTCCCGTTCAAAATATATTTTGTCCTGGAGGCAATTTGTTAGATCAGATATGCAAGTGTAGAGGTGAATACACTTTAGATAGAGGAGGACTAAACTGAAATGAATATGACTTTTTGGAATGTTAGGGGACTAAATAAATCCCCTAAGCAGCTCTTAGTTAAACAGCATATTGTACAATAGCACCTTTCTTTTATTGCTCTCCTGAAAACAAAATTAAAGGATAAAAAATTACCTAGTATTACACAGAAAATTGCTGGAAGCTGGGAATGGATTTCAAATGTGAATAATACTGGAATTGCCAGAATCTTGCTATTGTGGGCTCCAAATGTTTTGGACATCCAGGAATCACTTTCCTCTCCCCAGCATATAACATGCACTGTCAAATGTAAAGATGGAAGAATTGATTGTATTATTTCATCAATATATGGTTTTAATCATTTGGAAGCTAGGAAAAATCTGTGGACTGAATTATCCCTTTTGCACCAATCTATTGGGAATACTCCTTGGCTATTATGTGGGGATTTTAATGCTATGCTCTCAAATGAGGAAAAACTTGGAGGTGCAAGTCTCACTGATACTTGTTTGGGTCAAAAGTTGATGTTTTCATTGTCATCGAATCTATTACAACTTTGGTCATTACAATAAACTCAAATGAAAAGAAAAGTTGATCTTTTTATAAGATCTCCTTTATACAATAAAAATAAAGATTACAACTCTTGTCAAACAGCGTAACGGACGTTTATCACCCGTTGCTTGCGTGGGAACTTTGCCTGTGCCGGGGACGTTAATATCCGTGGACCGCCACGGATCAGATCCGATTGACAGATTGGTGATCAAAGCTCTTACTTCACGAAGGAAGTAATCGCTGCAAGCGGTGATCTCGATCAAGCAAGATCATGGCTCTTCTCGAGATTTAAGACCAAGCTTAAATCCGGAGGAATAGGGGACGGGTCTCAGATCTCTCGAACTCCACTCTTTATGCACAGGAGATCGCCAAGATCTGCTAACCCTTGCTGTAAATTCGTGGCTCCACTTTCCAATTCGGCAGCGCTTCGCCCTCTTGATGTCCCCCCTAAAATGGAGGTATTTGACTCATATTTATAGGCCTCGGATGCGGTTATTTGGATGAGACCGATGGATTTTTTTGTATCTTCAGTTAACAACTGTACAACCACAATATCAGATCAGTTGGAACGCCCAGGAACACTCAAATCCCAAAAGAATCCGTCAAAGAACCAAAAAACCGAATTTTGACCGAACAGTCACCTGGTGGCTCGGCCGCCGAGTCACCTTTCAGTGATCTGGCTTTGGGCCGAACCACTGGTTCGACCGAGTCGTTTTGATGTGACTCGGCCGCCAGCGGCTTTTATTGGTTTTCCGGGTTTTGACTTGTTCCGTCGTTACGCGTATTTCGTCGTTTCGTTGATCTGTACGCTGTTTTGGTGGCCGATGAGCGTGCGGGACACTTGGAGGTGGCTGACGAGCGTACGGGCCAGTCGTTTTGCCATTCCGATGGACGATGAGTGTACGGCCCACTTAGAGCTGGCTGATGAGTGTGCGGGTCACCAGTTGGTTCATCGATTTAGTGGTAGATGGGCGTGCGGACCACTTGGTGGTCGGTGAGCACGCGGGTCACTTGGTTCGCCGATTTGATGGCTGATGAGCGTGCGGGTCACTTGGTGGTGGTCGATGAGCACGCGGGCCACTTGAAACTGGCTGACGAATGCACGGGCCACTTGGAGGTGGCCGATGAGCGCACAGGCCATTTGGTTTGCCGTTTTGCTTCATGTGTTCATCGGCGTCGGATAATCCCCTTAGACTTAGATAATGGCTTCATCACCTCCTCTCTGTCTCGAGCTGTGTGCGGATACCTATAGGCATTTTTAGACGTCTACAATACTGACACTGTTAACTTCAGTTCTTTCATTGATGTTTGCCAGCTCTCTCATCTAAAACCCACAGGATGCTTCTATACTTGGAACAACAAACAAGACACTAATACCAGGGTTTGGAGTAGATTAGATAGGGATCTGGTCAATGACTCCTGGATCCACTTTTATAACTCTAGTCATGTTGAGTTTTTGCTTCCAAGCTTCTCAGACCACTCTCCGTCGGTTCTCCTCACTGAGAACCAGATCACGAACGTCGTCAAACTTCAACTTGGTGCTTCCCGACGAGCTACTCACAGCTGTGACTGTAGCATTCCAACTCTCTCGTAGGGAAGACAAAAGTATCAACGCCCGAACTTCCTCATCAAACTCAATTTCAACTGAACTCAATTGGGTTGTAACCGTATTAAGTTCATTGAGGTGTTGTGCTACTGACGCGCCTTCCGCCATTTTCAGATTGAATAACCGCCGCATCAAATGAACTTTGTTCGCGGCTGATGGCTTCTCATACATGTTTGAGAGTGCTGTCATAAGACCTGCCGTGGTCTTCTCCTTCGCTATGTTGAACGCAACATTGCAAGTCAACGTCAATCTGATAACTCCGAGGGCTTGTCTATCTAGAAGGTTCCACTCTTCTTCCTTCATAGAACAACGTCAATCTGATAACTCCGAGGGCTTGTCTATCTAGAAGGTTTCACTCATCTGCCTTCATAGAATCTGACTTCTTCCCCAATAGTGGTTGATACAGATTTTTCTGATACAGATAATCCTCTATCTGTATTTTCCAGAATCTGAAATCTGTCCCGTCAAACTTCTCAAGTCTTATCTATCTAGAAGGTTCTACTCATCTGCCTTCATAGAATCTAGCTTCTTTCCCGATAGTGGTTGATACAGATTTTTCTGATACAGATAATCCTCTATCTGTATTTTTCAGAATCTGAAATCTGTTCCATCAAACTTCTCAAGTCTCATTTTTCCTTCATCTGCGGCCATGGCTCCTACTTGAATTTGATTTCCTCTAGATCGTTTCACGCTCTGATACCAGTTGTTGGGAATTTACCCGTCGGGGCTACACAAAACCCCTAATGCAGCAGAAACGCAGAATAGAAAAAGTACACAAAGATTTAACGAGGTTTGGCAACTGCCTACGTCCTCGGGAGCCACACACAGTAATTTCTTATTAATCTAACAAGAAATTACAATTCACGAGTGAATCTCAAACTTGAGATTCCTCAATAAATACAATCTTTCACTGTAGCTACGGTGAAGATTCCTCTCTCTTAAATAACACCCCCTCTTAATCCTCTCTTCAAATCTATCACAATAAATTCCTCCCATTTCTTAAATCCTTCCCAATCACGTGAGCACAGAAAAGGAAAGGAGAGAAAGAGAGATCGCTGGAGAGGAGAGAGGGAGATAGAGCCGCCACTGGAGTTGAGATCGCGAGAAGAAAAACGCTACAATGGGGCTAGGGTTTCGGGTTCCCTTTTATAGGGGAACACAATGACAGGCTGGCGACAGCGGGTGCCCAATCTCGCCTGCGGGCGAGCCACAATCTCGCCTGCAACATTTTCGCATGCGTCGACTTCTCCAGCAAGGAGTCGCTCGAGCTCGCCAACAGATCTCGCCATCAAGCTCGCCATATCCTGACCTTGAGCTCGCCTCGCCTGCAGCCCCCCTTTCGAGCTCGTCGCCACGAGCTCGCCAGATCTCGCTCGCCTGGACCGCGTCGCTAGAGAGTTTGCTTGTCGCCCCGCTCGCCTGCAAGGTTTGGTCGACACCCCAATTCTAACATAGGATATGCACTTTTTTTTCCCTTCAAGTTAGGGATTGGTCATGCACCCAAAAACTCTTTATTTCCTTGGAAATACTCCCTGCTGAAAACTTAGTAACATTGTGTTTTACCCTAGAACCATAGTACTGAGTTAATTATTGGAGTACTCCGTACGCTAATGCTCTTCATTTTTTTCTAGTAAACAAGTATAGTCACTAGCATATGCATGTGACGAAGTGACATGAAATTGTAAAGGGACCAATCGGAGCCAGTTGAACGGATTCTGCTCATTTTGTCTTTCATGCATGCGCTTATGATGTAATGTTCCCCAATGGTCCCATTATCTAGAACTTGTTGATACTTATTTTACTGTCATTGTCTGTGCTGATTAAAATGAATATGTTTGGTATCAAACACAAATTTAATGTCCGGTGACAATATGATTTATTCTTATCCACTTAATTAAAAGGAGATCATGTTCACATAAGTTGAATAATCAAGAGTTGATGATTTTCAAGTGACGACCATTTGAATGAGTGGATGGAAAGGAACCACCTCAACAAATTTATACTCAGTACATATGCGAGTATTAGTATAGAAATTAGATGTCGAACATAAGGAAAGTTTGTGTTTTGAATTTCTAAATTTGATCTTAGAAATATATGGAAAAGAAGGAGTGAAATATAGTGTGTAGAGAGGGAATTGTCATGAAATAAAAAAAAACTAATACTGTAAAGATAACACCGATAGTGCTTAGCACTAGCCCAAGACCGTAATACCCGAGAAACCCGAAAGAAACCAAGAGAATAAACCTCTAAGTATGAAGAAGAATATGAAGAACACTTAGAGAACACTTGAAAGACTTTTAGAGAAATGTAGAGGACTTATGAAGAGGAAGACTCTTTATTTGAACTTGCTTTATTCACTTGTTCAACTTTTTCTTCTTGCTTACAAATAAGAGAGGTGAGGAGGTATTTATAGCCTCCCAAAGATATGTTACAAAGGATCTAGATTCTTCTAATATCACCTCCATAGTTCCTAGATATTTTTCTAATCTCTAAAAATTTCTACATAATATCTAAATATTTTTATCACAAATTATCTAGATGTTTCTATACTATTATCTAGATATTTAGCTTAAAAATTTCTCTAGAACACTTTAAGGAGGTGATCAACCTTCTAGAGTGTTTCTAGAAAACCTCTAGAATTTGGACCTAATTTTGGGTTTGGTCAAACTTAGAATAATTCCATCATAAACCCAAAATTAAGCTTGATCCAAAATCAAGTTTAATTTCAATAAATACAAGAGAAGAGAAGGAGATAACAAGGAGATAAACAAAGAGAAAAGAGAATAAAGAGGAGATTAAAAAAGAAGGGGAATCAAGAAAAGAAATAGAAGTGGGAACAAAATAAAATCAAGAAAATCAAGAGAGAAAATAAGTCTAGAAAGAGTGAGGAAAAACAACTAGAAAAATGAGAAATATAAAATTGAATCTACTAATTAATTTTAATTAGAATTTATGAAACTATATATTCTCTTTTTAACATATTTAACTTTAGATTTATTAAACATATAATACCGATAAAACTGATCGTACATGAAACTATAAAAGTAGATCTCATAAAGATCATGAACTCTCAGAATAATATTTGAGAGGTTAGAGTTAAAGAGAAT